AAAAAGAAAATTATGTTTATCCTGTAGAAAAAGACATAATATTCAAGGAAAGGTAGATAGATCACCAATATGAACACAGGCACTGGACTATATTAGAGAAGAGGACGACTCACAAAGCATGAAGTTGCCCCCATGAAGTGATGAATAACAAATATATTGATTTGTGAGGGGTTTATTTAAAAAAAAAAACTCCCTGCCCCTGCCCCCATGCTGCCACCCCCACTCCCTGGCTGCCATTTCCTTCAAGGAAAGGTAGATAGATCACCAATATGAACACAGGCACTGGACTATATTAGAGAAGAGGACGACTCACAAAGCATGAAGTTGCCCCCATGAAGTGATGAATAACAAATATATTGATTTGTGAGGGGTTTATTTAAAAAAAAAAACTCCCTGCCCCTGCCCCCATGCTGCCACCCCCACTCCCTGGCTGCCATTTCCAACCCCCTGTGACAAACCCAGACCTACTGGGATATGCCACAGTTTCACTAAGCTGCCACCAACCATTCCCTATAAGAAGTCACACAGACCAGGGATGGATTTTTAACAAATAAAGGAATAAGGTTTATTCAAACAACACACAGGGAAAATAAAATGATCAAGTAAATAAGATACAGTAACGTGGCTTAGTCTCAATCATACATACACACAGTTTGGTTCACACAGAACACTTAACTTGAAGCACAGACCCTGAACCTATCAGTTCTGGCTAACCATACAGACACCTGAACCTATCAGGTTGGTACTGACTGACACACAGTAGTACCCTGTCTGACACACAGACTCTCACTCAAGCTTCTTCTCTCAGCTCTTCTCCCAGCTCCTTCCCCCAGCTTCTAAACTTCACCACACACACTCCACATATATATACAGTACAGCCCCTCCTCCTGATGTCCCGCCTTCCACTCCCCATAGGATGGAACTTTCCCTCCAAACCCATGACAGACAGGTAACATCAGTGCTGTATGTAACACCCCCCACTGTAACCCCCAACCACTGCGCCACCCCCTCCGTCCCCGCACCCCAGCTGACACCCCCTTACCGTAATCATCGCTGCTGCTGTCGAGGTCTCCATCAGCCCTCCGCAGACATGCCATGTAAAAAAGGAAACTGCCGTCCCTTTGCAAAGACGGTGGCTGCAGCTTCATTTAGAGTAGGGAAGCTGCAGCTGTCATTTTTGCAAAAGGCATCCTGGATTCCCTTAGCTGGCTAAGGTAGAGAGAGGAAGGGGGTGGGGGTGGGATGGGGTAGACGGTGGGGGTGGCTGCCTGCCTATCGGCTCACCAATTAGCTGATCAGTGGACAGTGGGCAGGATGTTTTTTTTAATTACAAAGGGACGAATAAAATGGGGAAATATTCATCCCTTCATATTCATGGGGGGTCTCTGGAACCCATGAATATGAAGGGATGAATATTTAACAAATCAGCGATTTTCCACAAATATCCCAATCCACTTTTTTATTCGTCCCCATGTCTAGTCCACATACCGTACACAGGTATAGTATAGTCCAGCTTTACCATCCCTCATCTGTCACAAAAATGGTTTTGAGGGTTGTTCTTGTTTTTTGAAACAATAAATGTGTACCTGAAGTACATTATAGGTAAAAAGGCTGATGTGATTTGTTTGTACAAAGAAATATATGGAGGCAGGCTCAGCTTATATGGCTATCCCGAACCTGCTGGAAGGAAGAAATTCCCTTATGAACCACGGCTCTGTCCAGGCAGTATTGTCACCTTCACTCTTTGCTTCTCCTTGCGGTTTGGAGCTGCCGTGGAGGCAGTAAAGATGAGAGGAAATGTCCTCAGTTTTTAAACTTGCTGCCATCCTTGGTCTAATGGCTGTTGCCTTGAGTTGGACCAGGCTGGTGTGTCAAGGGCATCCCCTTCACTTGATGCCCATTGTCTTTAACAATGATAGGCTAAGACAGGAAATAAAGAAACATGCATACTTTTGTAGCAGGGGAAGAAGAACTGCTACTAGCTAGATTTCATTACAATACAACCTCTTAGCTCCTCCCATGGACCCAGCCCAAGCCTTATATCTCTAAAATAACAATAAATAAGAAATACATTGAATGTGACTATGCTGATTTTACTTCAGTGCTGACTTGACCAAACAGAACCCACTATTTTAAGATAGGGGAGGAAGATTTTCACATTTAGGAGCAAACAAGTATGCTCTCCATGGATCAGTCATTTATTTGTCAGAAGCCAAATAACCATTTTCCCTCACAATCCCAGTCCAAAGCTGAAGCCCTGTCAGACTCCCATACTGGCCAGTCTTGTCATGAGGCAGAGTGAAAAATTAGCCTCTGGCAGCAGGTTTTGAGTACTATGGACAGGCAGAAAATTGCTGGTTACTTAATTGTTTATCATTGCATTTCTACTGTTACGTGTTGCTTGTGAAATTTTTATATGTCAAAAAACCTAGCTTGTTATGGGCACTTTGCAATTTATCTTGGGTAAATGGGTGGGGAGGGAGGGTAACATTTGGCCCCTGGCAGCAAACTGTCTTGGACTATTCCTGTGGCAACAGGTTACAAAGATCTCTCCAATCTCTGTTAAAATCTGTCTGTGGCCCAGTATCCCCTTCCACTGCCACCCATTTCCCCCAAGCTTACTGGATAGTGATTACATGCCACCTTCAGTACGTCCAGGATACTGAAGGATCCAGGGTATTCAGAAAATGCAGTCCATGGGGCTGCTTCAGGACCAGAAATTTCCTACCATGAACTTTGCAGGAGAAAGTTAAGGAGAGTTGTGGAACTTGTAGAAAGTTCTCACAGTTGAGTATAATTCAAATGCGGAAGAGATTGGAGCTGAATCCATAATGTGTAGCTCGCTACCATGAGGAAGCTAACTTTGAGTCCCCTTCCTCATTACAACTCCAAGTGCCATCCTTTCAGGTTTAAGCAACTGGCCATGCATTTTAGGGCAGCTGAGAGTGACCATGGAATAAGACTTATACCCTACCCCTTGCTTTAAAAATGAGTGCTAATAGCATGCCATCCTGTTGCACCAGCAATATTCACAATTTTTTTCGGTGTTCAGGCAACAACCTCAGCCCTCAAGAATTATCCAACAAGATACGATCCCTTTCAAAGTCTGTTCCAAATTGATTTAATCACAAGTCTGTTTTACTGGGCTTTGAGACATCTGCTGCCTTTGAGCAAGTGTTCATGGGATTATAACTTGAACTGCGCACTTTTATAGAACAATGGGGTATTATTTTAATATTGGTTAACGGCTTTGTGTCCAGCGATAACCAGTTAGCTAACAGCTCTAAAAATTGACTACATTTACACCTATATTTTAATTTAATTTGTACAGGATGCACAAATGCAACTAAAGTATCTCAGTTTTTTTAAAAAAGAGGTAAGGGTTGCTAGAATTTTTATATACAGCTTCTAATTTGTAAGCTATTCAGGTGAATTGAGGAACTTCATGCCTATTGTGCCAAGCTGATATGGTTTTCTAGTAAGAATATTTGGCTAAAAAATTATTATTTTAATACATTGGCCATCATTTAAAATAAATATAAAAACAGTCCCCCCCCTTCTTCAGCACAGTATCTCAAAAGAAATATGAAGTGCATTTTGCCTTCAAAAACTGTGAAAAGAGAAGAATAAGTAAAAGAGTGGGAAAACTCTTAAACACGTCTGTATTCCCCTATACTTAGAATTTTTATTTGTTTGTTTCTTTGTTTCATAAACTTATATAATACACCAAAAATATAAACAAAGTGAAACTATCTAAGAAAACAAACAAAACAAATCATCAAAATAAAAACAAATATTCAGATTAATCAATAAAGAAAATCAATACACCTAAGCATAAGACTAAACAAACCTAGATAATGGCCAGGCAATAACATAAACAGCAGATTAGGGACTTAGAAGATTTGAACAGTTTTTTTCTTTCTAATTGTTAAAAACAAAGTTCAGTACTCTTAAGTGTGTAACACAGCTTAGGAATACAAGGTGTTCTCTCAAATCACATGTACTATATTCAAAAACTATACATGCTCTCCCCATATTGATAAGAACAGTTTTCTTGCAGGTGGTATACTTACTCCTTTGAATATAAATATTACTAGATTTCTTGTATTCCTTCTTTTTAAGGTATCTGAACATGCCAACATTAGAAACACACATAAAGGCAAGCTTGTTTACTTTGTTTAAATGTAAGAAATGTCAGTTATCATAAATATATGAAAGCCATATTTTCTTTCTGCTTTTGATGCTGTGCTGCAATCCAGTAGCAAAATCAATCGTGCCAGCACACTATTTAGATTTATACCTATTTGAGTCCCATTAATGAGGCTAAATCAATTTGATCAACACTATGGAGAGATTGTGTTGTGTTTTTCAGTCCTTATATTAATTATTAAATTTATTGAGATGGGTCCAGATTTATAGTAGACTTAGATGAGGGAGTTTGTGCTAGCATATCAGGTCAAAAAACAAATGAAAAATAAATAAAGAAGACAAAAACATTGTGGCACCTTAAAAACTAACTGCTGTATTTTGATGTGAGGTTTTGTGGACAAGTCTGAGAAAGTGGACTTGTCCAGGAAAACTCACATTAAGTTTTAGAGTAGGCCCATTGAAATCAAGGGAATGTCAGTAATTAATGCAAGCCCTGTTGATTTCAGTGATTGATTTGTAAGTATAAATAAATCTGAATCCAAATTACTATCATTACTGACATGGAGATACATTATAAAGTAAAAAAGCAAAGAAGCAGGAACTCATCCTAATTTAAGTAATGTTAGGGAAGGCGACTGGGGGATTAAGGTAAAACAGAGAAGATGAGCAAGGAATAAATGTAAGCAAATACACTTGTAGTGTTGTAAAAGTTTAAATAAGAATTATTTTTTATTCAGTCTTAGATCACTATTCTGTACCCTGTCTTATCTTTACAAAACTGTGAAGTAATGACACTTTAAGGAAGTGATGAATGGGTGATCATTATAATAAATTACCGAGAGATGAGTTACCTGAATAGCATTGGTTACATTCCAACCAGCTTCCCAAGTGGTAATCAATGTACCCTGGGCATTTTGGATGTGAAGGCGCATGTGGTAGTCTGGATCTTGGGAGTGTGTGCCAAATTCCATGGAAGCCATTCCCGTTGATTCCTCTCCTTCTTCATGAATGAGGTTGAGTTCATCCTGTCTGGCAAAATTCACATTTTCTTCGTCCTTGTGGAGACAACATTTCCATCTCACCATTTTGAAAAACAAGGACTTGCTACTCCTCACGTGGTCTGAAAGAGAGGAAAACATGTAAGCTCTCTGGCTGCTTAGCAGATAGTTGTGCTGACGGTATTGTCCTTGCTGAAGTGACTTCTGCAGAAGTATTATTGCTAAATATGACTAGTATTTTCCCAGTACTATTCTAGTATTTTTCAAGATGTTAATTGATAGAGTAGCCGTGCATTATAGGAACTAATTCTTTTTAGTTCTTCATTTGTGGCAGCTGCAACATACAAAGCTAAAAGATAATCTGCAGTGGCCCTCTGTGCTTCTCTGTATCATTGAGGGTGAGTAGCCTGTAAACTAACACTTCTAATTCAAATCTTCCCAGTTACGGTCATTACGTCAATCAGTCAGTCATGAAACAGCTACAAGTGGCTGCCAGAATCTAACGCTAGGAATTATGCAAGTGTTTCAATACAAGCAGCTCTGACTCCATAAAATAATTGCTGCCCTTAACACACAAAATTGATGGAACCTGCCAAACTGAACCTGCCAAAATGGTGCCTGTAAAATGTGCTTAGTTGCAAGGTAATGGCTCAGGTTCTCACTAAGCTATTCATTATGAATCATGTGGCACTTAGAAAACAAAGTTTTGCTAGACTGAGGTATAGTTTTATGAACTGGCAATAACTTAGGGGTGGGAAGATTACTTGCAAAACTACTTATTCTCATCAGTTTAGGCAGTCTCAACACAGAACACAAATGAGGAATTTTCAAGCCTTATAATTTTCTTAACCTTTGGGGAAAGAAAAAGAGACGGTTTTTGTAATTTACATAAAGTGCCAGTGGGGAAGTCAACACAAAACTGTATGTTATTTCCTTTTAAAATGTAAAGTGTGTGTATACACATATCACAAAAAAATAAGCATTTGAAGACCAGCTGGTCATTTAAAAAGATGCAGAAGAACATGCTTCAGATTCTTAAAAGTCTATGAAAGAAAGCATTGACTAATGCAAATGTGCAGAACTTGAGCAAGAATAAGAGAAATCTGCCTAAGTTTTCTCCCCATGTGTAAGAAATTTCTTTTATTTGGAATGCGATGTGCCTTTAGATGTATTTATGGCATTGTAAAAGGTACAGGAAGTCAAAAGTACCTTCCACAATTTCATGTAAGTTCTGTTTGTTTTTCATTTCGGGTGCAGCAGCTCTTTGAAAAAAGCTTCAAAAACTGTTACATAGCCTTTTAAATCTTTCACAGGAGTTTAAAGTTATCATTAGTGTGGAAGAAGGTATTTTGAAAACTGGGGTGTATGCTCCTCCAACTAATTTGATGCTCGTTAACTTTATTCATGTTTAGGTTGGTTAAAAGATCATAAAATATTCAGTCATGTTCCTCTGAGTTTGAGTATGGTAAATACCTATAGCTCTTTATATTTCATGTGGCCTTCAGCATTCTCTGCCTTTCCACCCACTACAGATTCGCTTTTGCTGCACTAACAATGCTCTGGGAGCTAAACTACATATTATAAATAACCCATCACTGCAGCTGATATCAAATTAGTGTTAAGATACATGGTTTTGCCATGGCCCCTATAGACAGGTTCTCCAACAAGGATGGGTTTAATCTCTGAATTCAGCATGAGGACGGAAATGCCGGCCCCACAGAAACTCAATTGAGGAGGCCGAGTCCTCAGTTGAAGGTATCTCTGTGCCTCATTCAGAACAGGATAGGACAATTAGTCATTGAAAACCAAGCCCTTTGAGGAAAGATTGAGGGAACTTGTCTGCCCCTATAGACAGGTTCTCCAACAAGGATGGGTTTAATCTCTGAATTCAGCATGAGGACGGAAATGCCGGCCCCACAGAAACTCAATTGAGGAGGCCGAGTCCTCAGTTGAAGGTATCTCTGTGCCTCATTCAGAACAGGATAGGACAATTAGTCATTGAAAACCAAGCCCTATGAGGAAAGATTGAGGGAACTTGTCATGTTTAGCCTGGAGAAGAGAAAACTGAGCAGTGCTATGACAGCTATCTTCACGTATTTGAAGTGTTGTCTTGTAAAGGTGTGATTCCTAACCTTGGCCTTCAGATATACTTGGACTAAAACACCCAGAAGCCTTCATCACTAAGCGGTGCTGGCCAGAATTTCTGGAAGGTGTATTCCAAGAACATCTGGGGACTCAAAATTGAGAGGCTTGGGTTTTCTGCAGATCTAGAAGATAGGACCAGAATTAATAGATTTAAGTTACAAGAAACAAGAGTCTAAATAAAAGAACTTCCGAACAGTGAGAGCTATTTAACAGACAACTATGTTAGTCTGTCTCAGTATGTTGACAAATTTAAAGGGGGGAAAATATAAAAGGAGAGGTGGAAGTGAAGGAAAAAATGTGTTTGAGAAAGTAGATTTTCTAGCCCTGCTATGATGAAGCCATTGTTTTCTACTAAGTTAAACAACGACAATAGTTGACATGCTGCCCCCCCTTTCTCCCCATCTCTTGTCTTAATGAGACTGTAAGTCTGTAAGCATGACCCTCTTGGTTTGAAATTTTTATAATGCCTAATGAATCCTTTTGAAATAATGGCCAGAATTTTATTGGGAATTTAAGCTGGAATAAGTGTAAATGTATAAATTATGGTGAGAAAGTGCTGCTAATTAGCAAGTTGCTGCTCACATCCCTGACTGTGCATCAGGTTGTGTGGCTGGAATGCAATGCAACTAGTTAACTAGCGGCAATTTGTCACCATAATTTATGCAATTGCTCTTATTGTTGTTGTTTAGTCGTTTAGTCGTGTCCGACTCTTTGTGACCCCATGGACCAGAGCATGCCAGCCCCCCCATCTTCCACTGCTTCCCGTAGTTGTGTCAAATTCATGTTGGTTGCTTCGATGACACAGTCCAACCATCTCATCCTCTGCCATCCCCTTCTCCTCTTGCCTTCACACTTTCGAAACATCAAGGTCTTTTCCAAGGAGTCTTCTCTTCTCATGAGATGGCCAAAGTACTGGAGCCTCAGCTTCAGGATCTGTCCTTCCAGTGAGCACTCAGGGTTGATTTCCTTGCTCTTATTACTCCAGCATTAATCATCATGAGGATTCTCGCCAATAAATGATGATGTGTGGTAGATGCTGTCCTGCTAACTCGAGTCTTCCCTTGGTTTTGGTTCATACAGTCATATGACTATGTTGAGAGGGAGACAGGAGTCTTATGCCTTCAATTTGCTGCATAAAAATGGAATCACAGGAGTTTTAGCTACAGGCCCAGGTTAGAAAGCAAGAGGCAACTGTTAATCACACACATCTGTTGTCAGCAGGATATGAAACCTTTGTGATTTAGAGATTTGTGTCTTCACATCTGCTAGGGCTAAATAGATTTGAAGAAATATTTATTTTATTATTACCGCTAAACTCCTGGCCTTTTCTGAATAACTATATGATGAACTCTGTTCTCCCTCATTACCTCCCTTTCTCTCTTGTTTTCCCTTCAGTGGATCTTCCCTAAATGTCAGTTTCTGGCTTTCCAGAGCAGGGAGTGTGTCCAATTTCCCTGGGAGTGACAAGCTTTGCATAATTTGAGATACTCTGAAATAACATGCAGTAATCCTCTTTCCAGGTCAGCCCCTGCAAAGTTAAGACATCTGCAAACTAACAAACACTCGAGCATATCACTTGACATTTCTGTCAGTAAGAAGTTTATGACAAATGTGCTCTCATCTTTGTTATTTATTGAAAATTACTGTTTTATTGGCCCTCCTCTCCAATGGCACAAGAGATCATTAACGTTTTTGAAAATTAAGTAAATAATTCATGATTAATTATTTATAACCTTTATTTATTCCTCTTCATTTTTCAAAAAGAAGGATTGACCCCACTGTTATAACATCCCTTAACAGGTCCCTTGCAATGGAATCTTACCCTTTTATTCATAAGTATGTTCCATTGAATTGAATGTGACGTACTTCCAGGTGTGTGTGCATAGTGTTACACAACCTCATTCAGCCGTGGTATTATTTAGGGAATATATACATGTGTATTATATCCATGCCACTATCATTGCATATTTCTGTTGCTGTAACTGTGACCTCTACTTGTCCCATTAGAGTGATTTCCACTCCTCATTTATATGGGCTGATGTTATGGACAGGGTCTGGAAAGAGGTGAGACCTAACATGTGGGTCCTTGGCTGGTCTTATAAAAGTAGCCAGAAGAATTGGCCAAATGGGCAAAGCTAGTGATGTTGAATACTTCATTACAATGTGTGATATTATCCTGCTCAACAGAGACAGTTATCAGATACAGTATTTGTTTTAAGAAGGCCCACTCTAAAACCTACCATATTTAATAATTTCTGGAGAACCTTAAATGTTCAGTTATTGGGCATGCTGCTGGAGCTATAGGGCAACTGCTTTGGTTTCAGGGATTTCTGGAACATCATCAATTTCAATTTGGCTTCAGCCCTCATCAGTGGTGGTTGGTGGCCAGAAAACTGGTAGGCTGGCCAGCAGAGTAATTAGATGTAGGTCCAGAGGTCACCACAGGTAAGGCCAACTCCCCTCTTTTTTCTCAACAGGGATGTGCACAACAAACATTTTTGTATTTGTCTTGTTTTCAGTTCTTTCAGGGGTGCCTCTTTCATTTTAGTGTTTTCTGTACACCTGTTCTTTCATTTTACACAAAACAACCATATCTTTTTGGTCATTTCATTTTGTGTTTTTCCAGTTCCATTCCCATGGCTCTGAAGGCACTCCCCTCAAAGTAAAAACAACAACAACAGCAACAACAACTCTGAAAAATCAAAGGCAAGGCAACAGAGAATCAATCTAACCTGAAAGCAGGCAATGGTACAAGAGAAAGAAAAATCATCATCAGACCTATCCAGGCACTGGTTTAGATTATCACTCATGATCATGATTGTTCATCATAATCAAGGGACATCATAATCAGAAAACAACAATATAGACGAGAAAGAAAATATCCAACCTATATCGGTTCCCCTATAGGTGAATATCTACAGGATTAATATTTCCAAACTAAAGTTTTATGTTCTAACCCATAAATAGACTGTCATGGACACAAGAAATCTTCCTTG